ACGATCTCTCTATAAAATATCTCGGTTTCTTTGTTCTGAATTATAATTTGTGAGTGAACATATTCAACTGATCAATCGCTTTCTTACCGACAACTAGTCGATCGTAGGCTATCGACCATGTTGATTCCGAATATGACCATGAGAAATCCTCTTAGATCATTGTATAGTAATTTTTCCAACTAACAAAATCTTTTACCAAAATCGTTGTTGATCTACTCAGATTATTGAGCTTATTGAATTGTCTATAAATCAATAGTCTTTTCTATTTTTCGGAAATGAATGACAAATAAAACAAAGTCATCTTGAAGATTTTCAAATTGAAATATTGATCTATATCTGTTATATGAATTTAAATGAATGCATTCTCTGCAAAAAAAAACCGATTTGAAACAGAAAAAATGTAATTAGAACAGAAAATGAGAAAAAGATTGATCACTTGAAAATATTCTCGTTGTTAGAGTCTTGGTATTATTCTTTAATATCAAAGAGTAAATCTTTTGATATCTTATCTCATAAATTAATACATTTGGAACCAATAAAAGTCAACAAGTCATTTGTAATGTTTCTTTTTTTTTTATAAAAATAAGATCGATTCGCATATTTTCACTAGTATTATATAAGAAGGTAAGAGTGAAAGTTTATCATTGTGATATTATGCTTGTGGATGCATATGAAATACTGTGATAAAATTGTAACGAATGTAGCATTTAGTTCAATAATGTTTATTTTATAATAAAACTATATAATGTAAATCTACGAAAATACAAAACTTATAGTTTAAAAATAATCATTTTTCTTTTTATTTATTAATTCTACTTGTATTAGGATTTCAAATAGAGAGGATGCAATGAAAAAAAATCATATTAATAGATATTTAACTAAACAAAAACTTTTTTTTTTCAAGCTTCGAATTAATCCACATAACTTGCGTATTGAATTTTAATCCTTTGTTCTCCATTTATTATTTCATTAGATAAATTTTCAACTTATTTCAAGAAGAAAATCGAAGATTCATGATATTACCACCTTGGAAAACTCTAATGATTTCATAATGGTTTCAGTGGAATCCGCTATAGTTCAATAGGAGCCAATTAGTTTCTGCTTTTTCTCTTTACATTAAGGATTTATAAGACTTTTACTAAATTGTTCAATATAAAAAAAAAAAGATTGGAATCACGAAGTATACACTACAAAAATAACATGTGATCTCCATAATGAATTCTTCTGAACAAATCTTTTTGGGCATAAAATTCCAATTACTAATAATTTTGGTTATCTTGTTTTGATTTCTGTGATTCACTTGAAGATCTTATGTATTCTAACATAATGTGTTAAATATCTTTAGATTCTAGAATTTTAGAGATTCAATAGAAGCTACCAATAGTTGCTATTCATGAAGGTAATTTTTTTATGTGTAGAATCAATAATTCTAGTCAAAAAAAAGTATTAAAAAGTTTAAGTTCTCCAACGATGCAGGGGGAAAAACCACTAAATCAGATATTTGAGTTCGATAAAATTAAATACAATAATCAACAAATGAATTTATTGTTTTTTCTTATTGACGAAAATCATCAATCACAAGAATATGAATAAATCTTTTTATTCTCTATTCTTATCAAGTATTTGTACTACAATAATAAAGAGTCTCAGGAAATTACTCTATTTTATTTCAGCCATGGTTTTTATGTTATTCATTATCTTTTGAATAGAATCAATATCAAATTATTTTAATCTGAATCATTATCATATGCACTCTATCGACAAGTAATATTAAAAAAATGCTCGAGAGTTAATGCTATTAGATAACTAAATGAATTATTCTGGTTCGTTACAGCATTGATATTCTGTCAATAAATTCTTTGCCTTGTCTCTGTCGAGGAATGCTTGAATGCTAAATTTTTAAATGACATACATTAAACATCAATATGAACTGGAAGAATAGTTTCGATGAAACATTTATGAGAAAATGTCTATTAACATAAATATCCTTTCAGGAATGCTTCGAGTTATTTTCAATACATAATTTGATGTCGTATATTTAATCTAACTTCTCGTTAGCAGCAAATCTTCATTATTTAGGAGCCCATTAACATAAAAAAAAAACAAATTTTCTAGAATTTCAAATGATAAGACAAATAAAATAACATTTTATTGAAGATGAATAAGTATTTTGCCAATTTGAATAGAAATAATTATATAGATAACTTCAGTTATTTATATCATACTTTTTTACTAGAGCCCGTCGATTTGAAAATTTTTGGATCCAGTAGAAGCGTACTTTGATATTCTCAATAAAATTTTCTAATTGGAATTGAATAGTCGCCTCGAGGATACGAGATATTTTTCCGGTTTGTTTTTGTATTCAGTGACTAGCACATTGTACACATTCTTCGAAGGCGAGAATTCATCCGATCTAAAATTTTCGAGCCTGAGACCAATCCGACGGACTTTACTTCCAACTAATTATAATCTACATTATAAAATATTTAAACAAGATGAAAAAATATTTTTGATAGCCATTATTTTTAAGGTAAATGTCATTCCTATGAAAAATCTATTCTTCTGTTTTGTTATTCACATTTAATTTGTTTTCAATAGATTTCAAATTATAAATAAATCATAATAGTACGTACTAGATAATTACAAATATTGTATTATTTTTGTAGTAAATGATAACAATGTTTCATTTTTATTTAGTAAAAACCAAAGTTTTCTACCTTTTAATTTGACTAATAGTAACGTTTTGAATAGAAAATTTCAAACTATATTGAAAAGTTTGTAAACATGAATTGATTTCTAGGAAACTTAAAACGAAATGTATTGATCTTTCTTTGTGATTATGGCATTTTATAATTCCATTAGCTATCATTGAGTTCAGTTGTATTCACTCTGAGAAGATGTTGTAAAACCTTATTTTTTATTTGATTCATTCTTTTTGTGTATGAGTCATATATGTTAAGCATACTCCTTTTATATTAATAGAACTTATTTTTGCAAGAAATAAACGGAATATAATGATACAATTTGTTTAAAGTTTTTGAACAACACAACAAGTTTAATACTAAAAGAAAAAGATGAGACTAGTCGCTTTCTATGATAATAAATAATTATATGTTTGCAATAGAAGCCATAGTGACTTCAAAGGATAGGATTAACAAAACTGAAAATCGTATCTATAGCACTATAGTTGTCGTAGTGTTCGAACCGATCTATAGTCTGAATTTTTACATTTGAAACTAATTCATCAAATTTGATCATAATCTAATACATCAACAAAAGGCATGAGGCTAGAGAGGGAAAGCAGTCCCCAGAGAATAAATATGAATATAGCGAGAAATTAAAAAAATCATAAAGCGCATCGACATATAACCGACAATAGCTATTAACAGTTAAATAATCATATATATAAAAAATTTCTGATTAATTTGAATTTTGAATTCATATTTTCTCGGTTAAAGGATTAGCGAAGAGATAGAAGTTTCAGTCGATAGGTTGAGTCACTGCCACTGCTAGTAGAATTTTCGAAATATCTCATCCATTGTCATCGTTGCTATTAGTAATTGTCAAAAGTTTCGGCCATTGGTGTCAGAACAAAAAAACTAGCTAGTAGAATTTGAAAAAAATATTAACTCCTCAAGTCATTCTTCGAGATTATTTGTCTAATTTTTTTTATCAGAGTGTTCTCTACTATTATTTTCCTCTTTTTTTTCATTTGAAAAGTTCCGGTAACAAAAATCAAAGTTTAAAAAATCTTTCGAAAATGTTAGTGCTATCTATCTATTATATATCAGTCTACATCTCTACGCAGTAATATAAATGTTTTATAATTACATATCTAATCATTTCATGTAAGAGATAACTATAATTGTTATGAAACTTTCATCTGCATAATATGCGAGGTCAAATAAACATCGATTATATAATAGAAGAAAAGAACTTTCTAGAATGTGAAGCATTACTGCAAACTATTTCATCTATTTTATCATACGTTCTTGTTCTTATCTTCTTTCATCCAACAGGACGAGTAAATGATAGTGAAGGCAATAACATATTCAATTCATATTCTTGTATCATAGTAAAATATGTACTTAAATGTAATTTTTGTTTTTAATCTAAACTGAATTATTAATCAATCTACTATATTCAATAACTTAATTAAACTTAATGTCATTCTTTCTTTTCGAGTACGAAATCTAGACAACATGAATGTCATTCCTTAAGCAGACCTTCCACCATGAATGCAAATGAACATTGTAACTGATGTGTGCTCAAAGAAAAAGTGTTTTTCCAGTGCTACCATACACTTCTACCCTCAGACATTGAGTAGCTTCGTTGTTCGACATGTATTTAGAGCCTTAGTACCACTAGCCATGGGATGAATCTGAGCAAGTTACTAATGGCTATTTGTCTTGGATTATACGTCTGATAATATGTTGAGTAAATTGTGACATACATCTGTTCTTGTGGCTAGTATGTGTAAGAAGCTCAAGCACTTGAGCACAACAATTCTGTACCAAGTCATCCTTTTGTCTACAGATACAGTTAATCACAGTTGTAGGAAAAATATTGCGCTATTGAATCTACGGTTAGACAATAGCCCATATTGCAAGGTAGTTGAAAGACAGGAATATTCTCCATTATCTCTGTGCCATTTAGCAAAACTGAAAAAACAAATACATTTGCTCTTGAAAAAATATCAGTTACAATGTACTTCTGCGTTCACAATGAAATATCTGCTTAAAGAATATCTATGATTTTCTTGTAGAATATTCTATAAGAAAATTGCATTATCTTATTTATTCAATTTATAAAAAGATAAGTTTTCTTTTATTGTAATGATATTAAAAATAAATAAAATACTTTTCTTTTTTTTTTTTAGTGTTTTTTAATTTTAAAATAAGCACAAATGACAACAGAGAAGAGCTGATATCATATATAAAATAGGAAAAAAATATATTCTTTTGATTTATTTGCCTGTTTTTTCTTTTTAATATTGTATATTATACAACTGTTGGACGAGATTTTGGCATTTGTCGACGTTGTGCCGATATACATCGTAGAAGTTCACGACGAAATTTTATTCCACAAAATGAATAAAGAAAAAAATTTATTGAATATGATGCATAGGATATGTGTTGTGTTATTATAGTAATAATATAAAATAATTCCATTCGTTTTAAATGATTAATCGTATTCTGTTGATCGGAAGATTTTTTTGTTCTATAACTCAAATCATTATTATTTAATGATGTTGATGAGGTTTCATTATATGGTTTGAAATTATCGTTTAAATTTGTAATTATTTCATTTGAATCATTGATGAATATTGTTTGTTGAAGTGTATAGATTTTTAAACCTATTGTGCATATATGTGCTGGTGCATTAAGTAAAAGAAAACATGTTGATACAAGAATGAGCATACGAGTAACACGATATGATTGACTTTTAAAACATATAGTCGATTGACGTTGTAATAAACCCCGGGAACGAAAACGTGCATTCATTATGAGTGAATTATTATTTGAGTGAGTTTGTAGAATTGAATGCTGTTAATAAAAAATGAATTGTTTAATGTAGTTCATAGGAGATTAAAATGTATCTTAGGCTTGAACGCTATGATTTCATGTTTATAATATCCGTCATATGATTCAAAAGTTTTGTGTTTAGATTTCAACATCATGGATGAGAAAAGTTTCTCAACTGATAAATCGCTTTTAAGTCAGAATTGTGTGTGTCATATTGACCTTGATGAGTTATGAATATCCTGAAAAGAATTTGTTTGGTTAACTTATTGCTATTGAGATACTACATTTTTTTCCGGTATGTTTCAAATTAAAGCAGTGATTTCCTTCAGAAACACTAGCAAAAATCTGATTTTCGAATTTCGACTTGAAATTTCGTATAGTTTATTGTGATAGTCTCAGATCTTTTGGTCGTCCCTATCTTAAAAGATACGACTATAGTAAAAGTGTATCTTTTATATCGTTCATATACATAAGTAGACACGATATTCTTATTTCGAAATACAAGTAAATCAAAAGACCTTACATTTTCACACCAAACTATTCTATTTAAGGCTTATCCATGTGTGAAGTTCAAAAGTCACTTTTTCTGATGTTTTTGAGTTAGGTCATGACATTATGCTAAAAATATCGTAAAAATGATACATCTCAGCAGTAATAAGCCAACAGCATGAATTCTTTTCATTGCATTCATAATTCATCAAGGTCTACATGATGCAAATTTTCTCGACTCCAAATGATTTGTCATCTGGGGAACTTCCCTCATCTAGTTATGGACATATATTGAAGATGTTTGAGACTACTCGCCCAACAGGATGCTTATTATATGATACAGACTTGCTACAGTTAATGTTTATCATACTCTTGAGACAGTCAGCAACTTTGATAATTAAATGTCTATAAAGAACTCAAGTGATTAAAGAATTCTATATTAAGTTGAATTTCTACCATCCGTTAGTTTATGATCCTTTTAGAAGATAGGTAAACATTTTGGCGACATACAAACTCTAGAAACAATATTTAACCTATAGTTAATGCCTACCGGGTTACTCTCTAACCCGAAAATACTGTACCGGATGAACTCTAGTTGTCTGAGAAATGTGTAACATGTGCTAGTCATTGAATACAAAAAGTTGGAAAAAAAGTATACCCTATCTTAGGGGCGACTATCCAATTCCGATTAAAAAATTTTATTAGAACTGTCAAAATATGGTTCGACCGGGTTCGAAACTTTTACCTATGCGAACTACATTTGACAGAATTTTACATCAGTTTCTAGTAACTAGAAAAGATCAATATGTTTTGTTATCGTCAATTGACGATTCTAAATGTCAAGGTTGATAATAGACGATCAGAGAAAGTTATATTTAGTATCTTATTTATAACTTCTGTTTCTTTGTAATATTTTTATGCTCTTTCTTCGTCTGACAGCTTCTATTAATATGATTTATGAGCTAATTTAGATTTATTGCAAATACTTTGATAATTATTATATCCATGATTTTTGTTTCTGGCATGTCATAGGTCGCAAATATAATCTTTTATAATAAGAGGTAACAAGCAATGAAAAGTGTTTCATTATAAGTGCCATTGAACGCGTGAGTTGCAAAAGATGTTCATTTGTACGACATTCAAACATTTTCCTGTCTATTAAGCATGAATAGAGAAAAAAAGAATTTTAATTTTTACAAGCATTGGCAAAAATTGTTGCATATGACGTATATTCATTCTATCTCTATCAATTATTCATTTTGCTTTTAATCAACAAATAGATTGGAGACACCTTTTTTTGTTTCTAAAAAACGCTATTTTGAATTACATATATCTTTTATTGATCTGTTTTCTAGTTCATAATCAATAATTTATCATATAAAATTCATCAAGAAATACGTTTGATTAAGAAGATTTTTCTTCTGAAATTCTTTTTACTAGACAGAAAAAAATCACCTAGTACATAACTATATTCAATACCTGAGAGTTTGATATGTTAATATTATTATAAATATTTGGTTGAAAATTTGTATTGAATGTAACTTCATATGGTGATGAAGATCTTTTTCTAAAATTTAATGATATTACTTCGGATTGTTGTTGTTGTTGTTTTCGTTTTTTAAAACGATATTGTGGATTATTTTGAAAACGTTTTTTTAAATAAAATATAATTAATATATTTAATATTATTATTATTGTAAATGGTATAAGAAATGATAATAATGCATCTGATATAAACCAATTTAAATCTAGTTCTTCATGACAATTATCATATTCATTAGTTTTAACTAAAGCTAAACAATATGTTATACCAAGAATAATAAATAATGTGACAACTAAATAATGTATAAGATGAATTTTTTTTTCAGCAAATACGCTTAACGGAAATCGAACAGCTATCAAACGTTGAGCAGTAAATTGAGCTGTAAAACAAGCTGATAATAATTCAGCTAAATGAGAAACAAATGATAATAAACGACAAAGTTGTTCATTATTTGATTGTGTTAAATCATTGATGCACCGAGAAACAAGTGTAAAATTAAATAAAAGATCAGTAAGAGCTATAGCAAAAAACAATATATATATATATATATGTATTAAGATTGATTTTTATATTTGTTGGTTTATTTATTTACCAAGAGCAATTAATGTACAATTGTTAAAATTTTTTGAGAGAGATCTTGTTGAAAGCATAATTATTGTAAGAAAATTTCCACCAATACCAATAACAGAAACAATAATGATATATGGAAAAGATATTTGCATAAGTTTATTTAAAACATTACGCATAGCATTTTGTTCTACATAACTATCGTTCAACATTTTAATAATATTTTGACACTTACTCAAAAAAGAAAACAATATGAAAGATTGACAAAAATATATGCTTAATACATATGATCTAAAAATAAAACTTTATCACTATATGAAAAAACAAAATATATTTTAGACGAGATAAAATTGAATAAAAATTACAACAACGAACTTTCTTATATGTATATATACAAATAACATGGTTTATTCAATGTTTTTGCTTTTAACAGGCATTGTTTCGAATACAATATTAAACACGATTAGAATGTCAATAGAAAGGAAATGAGAGAAGAAAACAAAGGAAATAAAAAAAACGATAGACATTCCTTCTTATGGAAAAGAATAACTAAGAAATACAGAGAAAAATAAATGAATCTACTTGCATATATAAAACCAAATTCTAGCATCTATCTTACATGAAACATCTCAATCAGATTTTTATACTATTTACATCAATTCATCATCTCAAAGAAAAAGAAATAGAATGCATGTTTATTGTATAAGAAATAGAAAAAAAAAATCTCTATTTATAAACAGACCATCTTCTTGTTCTATTAGTAAGAAAAAAAAACTACATAAATACTCCTGCTTCGCAGGACATTAACAATAGTTATCATGGAAAAAAAAGAAGTAAGTATATTCATTCAGTCACATTTAATTTATTTCAAACTCATCACATATTTTTATTTTATAAATAAGAAAAAAAAAAGAAACACAAGCGACAACTTCATTCAAACATCTTAAAAACAAGAAAAAAATTATATAAAGCTCGATCCAAAGAATTTTCAACAACAAACCAATAGCAAAAATTTTATCATGCTGCTTTTCTTAATCTGATTTATTTCATCAATAATAAAGAGTCCTTACATCCATTCAGACTTCCTTTGCCCATTGTTAAAGAGAGTATACCGGCCGTTATTCATAATAACAAGACATTAGTGAGAAAATTACTAACCAGTTTTTTTTTTGCCAAAAAAGGTTTATATTACATATGTGTGACTATCCAATACGAGAAATACTCCCATTCTTTTGTATCAAAAAAAAAAAAGAAATTTCACATACGTTTCTCTTTCTATTCATGCCATGAATCTTAATACGATTTAACTGCATTAAGACTAATGAGGTTGCTTAAGAAAAATACAAAGTTTAGATATAGATATAAAAATCTTCTTGAATAACTTTGACCTTGATTATCCTATTTTAAATATATCCAATATTTTTATTCATGCAGAAATTCCTTATTAATTCTCTGGAATGGTATGACGTTTCAACGGAAGAATATATGAAAAAA